AGATTTTGGGAATAATAATAGTTATTGATTTTATTAATGAGTTTAAGTCTTCCGCATTACTTTATGTTTATATTACCTTGAAATGTTAAGGTTTAGATTGGTTGGTTCGCTCACATAGGAGGGTAAGTGTGGGTGGCAGTTGAGGCCCGGATTTGGGTCATGACAGTTTCCGACATGATTTGGAGTTTAATTCATTGCATATGCCCACTTTTTTTTACATCTATGGGTGAACTCCTAGTGGTGGATCGGATGTACCGATCCTCTTATATCTTCTTGATAAGGTAGGATCCTTTGTTAGATTTTTTCACTTCAGTTATGACATATTTGATGTTGTTTGAAAAATTAGAAATCCATCATTATTTTTATATGTACAACCTTGCTTATGAGAACTTACAAAAAGAGCTTTTGTGAATAGTTACGGTTATCCGACAGTGTTGTAAAAGGTTATGCATCCTAGCGTGTACCATTTGTGGGGTGCTTACTTGATCTTGTTCTTCTTTGGATTAGATATGTTTGATTATCCCTTGGTGAGTATTCGATGTCTAAACATCAAACTTTTATAACTTAAGTTTGTGGGAAGATTGTGTTGTGGAAAGGAAATCTTGATAAGATATGAGATGGCTTGTCTGTTATGAATGTGGTTCTTAGCTAAAGTTCACTTCTGGTAGTAGTTGGTATCTGTTCAGAATGTTATTTTGGTTATGTGGGAAAAGATTTGTCTTGATGGATGTATTATGGTCTAGTAGGTTTCAATTTATATTGAGTTCATTGGTTAGTTTGTGGCTTGATAATCACTCTTGATATAAAAATCTCCCAAAGTTTTATTTGAAAGTTCATTTCTCAGTAGTTGATCGTGAGGGAATGGTCTTAAGGATGAGCTCACTTAGAGAGATGAACATCGACTGGTAGGTTATAACTTAGCCTTATGGTAACGTTGGTTATTCTTTCTTCTTCTTCCTTATGTTCGAGGACGAACATGATTTTTAGTGGTGGATAATGTAATGACCTGAAATATAATTTTTAGAAATTTAAATTATTCGATAACTACGAGTATTTAGTTAGCGGATATTTATTAAATAATTAAATTTTATTAGTTATTAGTTAATGGATCAAGTCAATAACTTATTTAATATTAAAATAAGTAGGTAGGGTTTCTTTTAGAAAGGAAACATAAAATAAAATAAGAGAATAAACGTAACTCGAAAGAATTTACCTGCGGCGGACTTACAATTTGAAGAGTAATCACGGGAGCTTCAGGTAAAAAAATTGTTATAATCATTACCTTTCTAATACTTGGATAATTTTGTTTTAATTGGTAAATTGAGGCTAACATCAAAAGCAATTATGTAAAAGTTAATAAATATATAAATAATTAGAAGATATGTTAGATGACAATGTTGGATTTGTTTTAGAGCTAGACACTATAGGATCTTGTGGTAGGTACTTTAATATTTAATTGTATTATAATAATTTCTATATACTAAGGGATGTAGATATTTTTTAATTTTGAGAAAATGCATGGCAGATTCTTTCATCTTAGTTGTGACTTTTTTTATATATAATAAATTATAATACATTCCTTATTAAATGGGTTAAAGCTTATGATCTGGAAATCCCCCTGCTTAACATCTGTATGTTTTCAATGCTATGGTCAAACAATTTGCTCATATAAGTTTTGTACGTGTTATGAATTTGGGATGTTTGATATGAGTAAAACAGTTTTAATAAAAAAATTATGTTATGTCCTTGTGGACATAGGTTCAATCTTGAAGTTAACCTAGGGATCATAATAATGGGTGTTGTTAATTTTGAAATCTTATTATGATCATTTATTTGAATAGATTGCTTTGAGTTGGGAGTTCAACGAAAGGGGAAGGATCAAGTTTTGGAGTAATTCTTGATTGATTGAGGCAAGTGGATTTCTAAACTCTTGTTAAGTGTATGGAATGCATGTATTTCGTTGTGATATATGTTTGGAAGTAACGGGATTGGTGATGGGTTGACTTGTCCACATTGATTAATTTTAATGATGAAATAAAAGGGATAACAAAAGGCGATGTGATTAATTATTTATGTGTGATGTGTTGAGAAAAGTTTGATGGCTTGTTGAATCATTGGTGATGTGATTTCATGCTTGTGTGGTTGTGAACTGTGCAATGTTATGAAAATGGGCATCTTCTCATTATTTGTGTGAACATGTCATTGCATTTTTCTGAGTCATGGTTGTGAAAAAGTTATGTGCATTGAGAAAGGATGATAACTTAAAGAGGATGTACCATTTCGAGGGACGTATCGCTCGCCGCGATGGATATTATATTTCGAGGGACGTATCGCGCGCCGCGATGGATACTATATTTCGAGGGACGTATCGCACGCCGCGATGGTTACAGTTATCGAGGGTCGTGTCGTGCGCCGCGACAGATGCATGGAT